CTAGTGTTTGCTGGTCCTTTAACTAGGTGAATCAATACTTGAGCTGTCTGTTTGATCAATAATTTTTTTGCTGCTCGGGGCAAAATCCAAGCTGAAATTTGACTGAAATTGGAGAGGACTGAAACTTGACTGCAATGTGAGCATCTTATCAGGATGTGCTTTTGGGCATAACAAAAACTGACTGCAGATAAATTAAGACCTAAACTATTGAAAAATTGCAGTCTGCACATCTTCTGTAAATAGAGAAAAGCTTCTGTAAATTCCTCAAGATTTGTGTCGGTGTTGAGCATGCTTTAATTTGGGCAGGACTTCCATTGCAGTGCAGGGTCTTAATTGGGGCATGCAGAGTTCAGGACTAGCGACTTGGTTATGACAAGATGCAAGTTTCTATAGGCAGGTTAAGATAGCTTTTGCAATAAAAATATTAACTGTGATAATCATTTAGCTGTCATGTGGAGTATTAAATGATGTGACTTTAATAATAATAATGAATCATGCAAGAACTTAAAAGTAAAACCCTCAACCTAAATGCATATCATTGTCTTGACAACTTCGAAACAGAAACTAAAATGCTTTCCTTTTTTTTTTTTGTTTTTTTGTTTTTTTGTTTAATATAGTTTCTGCTTAGAAACCAAAGCAAGAAATGACTTTCATTTTTTGCAGGAAGATTACCGAACTCTATGGTTGAAGCGGCACCCCTCGGTCTGCCAGAGTAGGGCTGCCACAGCACTGTGCTGCTGCGCTCGGCGAGCGACAGTATTTCAAAATGAGCAAGGGAAGACTGCTCTGTGATGCAGCTTGCACCTTTCAAGAAGTTAATGGAAATGATTGTGCAATTAGGTGTTGAAAACTCATGAGGAGAATGAGTGGGAAGGCCAGTGCTTGCTGAGAAGCAGTGGAAAGAGTAAAGCCACAGGAGGCCCCAAAGGTGGGGGCGGTGCCAGAGGAGGGAAGGTACAGGTGACACTGAGCTGTCATTTCCAAGCAGCGCCATATCAAAAGTTTCCCTTGCCCAATGGTGATGGGAGGGAAGTTGTCAGAGGCAGGTGAGGATAACAGCAGACAGAAACAAAGCTAGTTTTAAAAATTTGCAGATGTTTTATAACTCCTGTTTCTGTGACTGAACTTCCAACCGATGTCCATTGCCTGAGGCCAGGTTGCAGAGGACTTGGTTGAAAGTAAGCTGAAGGCTGCTGATGGCTTAAGGGTGAAAATATGTGATGAATTGCAGAGAAGAACAGTTAGCCTGTTATAAAATGGCTTGTATGAGTGATGATTAATCAAGCGTATGGAAAAAAATGTGTAAGTTTTTATCAACAGTTGATTCTGGAGCAATAAGGTGGCAAATACAGAGGTATTATGATGAGAAAAGCCAAACCATTAGGGAACAACATAATCATGGAGCTCAAGAACAGCTAAGGACAGAGAAAAGCAAAGTATTGGAAATAAGCTGAAATAGATTGATGTTATGGTGTTAACATCTTGCTCTCTGGGAGACAGGCTGTGTCTGCTTGGACTAGACCTTCCACAAAATTTTTGCTGAAACATGTGGTGGACTTAGAGGACCACCACAAGCCTCAAAATGGTTAAAAGAACATGAAGGATATTTGACCAAAAAAAAAAAAAGTTCCTGATAAGGTATGACAGAACAGTTAACTTATCTGAAAAGATATATTGAAATTGTCTGTGTTACCTCTGAATTGTGAGCGATGGTGAAGCAGAGCTTGAAAGCAGATTGTTCCTGGTAGCTAATCAATGTGTTTGCCACAAAGTGAGGAACCGGATCAGTCAAGTAACTGTGGCCCTTGGCACGCCCCGCATCAACAGCTGCTTCTGTAGGTGGTTGAATTTCCAGGAAAAGACCCCGTACTCTTCCAGATAGGGCAGGTGTCTCAAGTGGAAATGGCTCCCGTAGACATGGATTAAAGGGATTAAAACAGAAGAACTACCTATGGAGCAGGAGAGAGCTACTGGAGAGTGGCCACCAAGGAAAACTCTTGGCTTTCTCTGATGATCACCTGCTTGTAAAGCAGAAAAGATTCTTTATCTGCAGTTGCTCTCATAGAAAGAGGTTAAGGTTTCCAAACATCTGTTGACAACTGAAGGAGAGGAAGAGGATTAGTCTAAGCATTGGATTTGTTCTGCTGTTTCTGGCCATTTAGCTGAAGGACCTGAGCTGCTTGGTGGTTGCTCTGCAACCTGAGCACTTACTTCTGTGTTTTTTGTCGTTCCTCACTTCCATACACTTCCATGGGGCTGGCTATTAATTATGGCCCATTGACACATGAAAACCCAGCTGTTATTTGAATTTATTTGAACTGGATGTGAATTTTTTTATATATATATATATATATATGTATAAATAGATTATCTGATATCACAGTACAAGTATTCTGCTCTTTATGTTTTAGGCTTTATTTGTACAGCTCTAGTCCGAGTCTGCAACCTTTTGTCGTCACTATTTAGGTCTGTAAAGAAAACTTAATAACATATGGTGCAATATGTTTGCTGAAACTGAGTAAAATATTACAGTTCCTTAAATTGAGGAAAAAAAATACTTTTTTTTTTTCCTTTGGTAAAATCATGGATTTATTTGGTTTAAAAAAAATTCATCCCAATGACTACTGTGTTTAGTCTGGCATTGGAGAGTAGGGAAGGAGCGAGGCTGCCTCTCTCCCATGCTCTCGGTGCTTTCTCTGCTAAGGGTTGTGTAGAGTAAGGAGGAAACTTCTGGGTCCTGCCTCATATGTGTGTGCACCAGCACCCTACCATGCACCAGCACCTTACCATGCGCAGAGGGTGTAGCTGCCCTTGCCCTGCACAGCACTGTCCTCTGCGCCGGATAAGGTGGAAATCCCAGGGAAGGAGGAGAAGGTGTGTGGCCATGCAATGGAAGACCATATGGCAATGGAGGGAGTGGAATTCAAGTCTTACACGTACCTTCGTTTGGCATTTTGTAATTTCTAGGGGCTGGATATGGGAACTTGGCTGTTTTCAAGCTTGATTTTTTTTTTTGCTTTAGTGCATCACTTCTAAGTCAATTTTGATGAAAATTGAAGGCAATTCATTATCTATTAAGATCCCCAGACCCTCAGAAAAGGACTTAATGTAAATCTCAGGGTTTTTTTTAAAAAATCATTAAATCAGAATTAAACTTATATTGTATATATGTCTTCTAATTCTGTGTGATCACATGCTGACTGTTTTATCTTCCATGCAGATTTTCTTGGTAATGTGTCATCGATGTGCGAGGAAGTGTAAATTAACCAATTCTTCCTACTTTTTACACTCCTAAAGTAACAATTCCAGTTTTGTTCTTGAAGCAACTGCTAAAAGCCCTTCCGTGTAAACCCTGGAATGAGACAAATAAATCATCGGTCCTGAATATTTAGGCATTAGTGATGACATGTACTTTACAGAACAAAACAAAATTACCTTGGCAAGATTGTCCTTCCTGTGAACTTAAAATATTAAGACTTTTTGTACCTGCCAAGGTTTGCAAGCTATAAACAGGGAGATTTGTGGGGAGAGGAATATATTTTTATTTATTTTTATATGTAAATATATGCACATATACATTCATTATTATTTTTTGGGGGGCGTGGTGAAAAGGAGGAGTAAGCTGGAAGAATGTACATAGGCATTTCAGCTCACTGATGCTGTTACTATCTAAGGGTGACACATACTGGATTTCTCCGCTATAAAGATCAGCAATAAGTATCTGAAAATCCAGTTTGCAAGTCCTAGAAGGCTTTTGGATTTCTCAGAGGCGGTGCGTGTGGCATGGAAGTACCTCTGCTCAAGATGGGACAAGCAGCCATTTTATTGGGATGTGTTTTGCTTGGCTATTTGGGTTGGGTGGAGGGGTTGCTGCCCTACTGCATCTCCTGGACTTCTGGGAACTTAGCAGTTGAAGCTCCTGATGTTAAAAGCAGAGATATGTAGAAATAGCTCTATTAGTAGATGCATCTGGTAGGCTTTGTCTCCTCCACGTGTGTTCGTAGGGACACAAGGAAGCTTGGCCGACGTATGGCAGGACGAGAGGCTTGCGACAGCTTGTGAGGTGGGTCAGCTCCTGTGAAGCTGAGGAAGCCTAGCTGGCAAGGGCATATTATTTCAGAGGAAAATTAAGGTCCTGGGCGTTGTTTTGCTTGCTGGGAAGGTGGAGTGGCTTGGTTCTGTTGGCTTTCCATGGTCTGCACTGCAACCCTGCAATAGTTCGCTTCATAAACCAACACATTGTATTACGGAGAGGTAGCATATTTGTTAAGACAGCTATTTGCTTGGGAAATCTTTGCTTATGGGAAGCAGCAGGCCTGAAGATCTGGGAAGCGCTGGCAGCCAAAGAGACAACCTAACACTCCCTCTGTGCGTATCCGTGCTCCTCACCGCTGGCCATCGGTGGTGGAACTGACCACCTCCTTGCAGATATCCTGCCAGCATCACTTGTTCCCCTTTGCGTTTTGGCAGCTGAGTTGGATCATAGCTAATTATTTTTATGCTCATCAAGAAACCTCTTTACAAATACAACTGTTAAAGAACCCAGTAAGTGGCTGTCCGAAGCACTTTAATTTCTTGGTTGCCTTTTATCTGGATAAATTCTGCCTTTTTTCATGGAATTTTAGGAGGAGGGCAGCTAGGATTTCTTTTGCATAGTTATGCAGCACAGGTGTGTGTACATTAAATATTTGTTGTATATACTCTGGTTTCCAGTATTCCAATTCAAATACCTTTTTGATTTAGCATTAAGCGGTAGCTGATTGCTTTATCAAGTGGACAAGAATTGCTTATTTTCCTGGATAGTCTTCAACACTGTTGAGAAATTAATGGCAGTTTCAGAATGTATGAAGGGCAAGGAAATGGTGTTCTCTCATTCAAAGAACTAATTAGAAGTAAATGCCTGCGGGTACTGGGTCTGTCCCCCCGCAATATTTTAGGAGAATTAGACGAAAATTTAATAATGGCTTTTAATTTTACAGGCAGCCAGCATCAAGCGTGAAATGACCTTCCCTGCATTTCAACAGGAGGATGTAAAAAGTGACATCAGTCAAAAACTGCCAGACCAACAGTTTCTCCTGCTCACCACAAAGGAGGAAGATTTAAAAACAGCAGAGACCAAAAAACCAAACAGAGCTCATGAGTATGAAAAGGAAAACACTCGTTCTGTTTGTCTTCTGGAACAGAAGCGCAAGGTTGTTTCTTCAAATATTGATGTGCCTCCAGCAAGGTAAGGAAAGTTGGATTTTTTTGTTGTATTTTGTTTCCAGCTTTTTTTTTTTCCCCCTCTTCTTTAAATGAGATATTAGAGGCAAATTTGGTAAGCGGTATGATGAACTGAGAAGACTAGTATTTGTGTCCAAGCAGCCTAAAGTCAATCACAACTCCACTACTTGAAAGATCTGCTAGAAAATGAAAAACACGTGGCAGAAACTGAGCCCATCAGCAGTGCAGGACTCTGTATTGCTTTTGCAATGTTTTTGCTTTTCTAACGTGCTGCAACTGGGGTACTCCCAGAAGAGGACATGTCTTAACAAGAAGAGATTGCTGACCCAGCTTCACCCCAAGGAGTAGTCTTCTGAATTATATACAGAATTATCTTACCTGTTAGTGATTTTTTTTTTCTTTTTTTTTTTTTTTTACTGTCATACCTGCAGCTACTTTATACTCATGGGAGTGTGCAGTGACTTATGCTGCATAGTGGGATTGTAGTTTCTTGTGTTCTGTTATATCCTTGAATAGGTATAAGCTGGGTCATAATGTGGTCTATGAAATTAAATAGTAGAAAAAAGTAGTGAGGAAAGACCGATGCAGGGAAATCAAATTTTATTTTGGTATTGCTTTTTAATTTTCTTATTCCTTGAGGATCTGTTGTAAATGCACATAAGCATTTGTGTCTTCAGCATTTGCACCTGGGCAGTTACACTTTCACTTATAAACTATTTGTAGGGAATTATTTTGAGAAAAGTAATTGTTCTTTAATCTGAGACTTTGACATATATCACAGCAAGAAATTAAAGGTTTATTTGTTTACTTTTTTTCCTTCCTGATCTTTAGGTAGAACAGTAATTGGAGAGGAGAAACAGGATTTCATACTGGCTAGTGATTTAAAGAGAAGGGGCTTGAAAATACAAAGTCTAGAACCTTGAACTTTGGTGAAGAACTTCACTGCTTTTAGAGAGAAAGGGAATGACTCCTCTAGGAAATGCTGAACATTAGTGTAAAAGAAACATATCCAGTAATGCTAAGTGGACTCGCTTGTATCAGTGGTGAAAAACTGAGAACAAATTGAGTGTTGTGCGTTGCAAGATGACAAGTGCTTTTCCTTTTTGTTGTTTATGATTTCATGTTGGCATCAGTCTGTTTGCAAAGATTTTTTTCTTAACCTGCCTGATAAATTCACTTGCATATAATACTCAGTGAAACACCTTCTGAGTTTCTAGTGCCAATTAAAAAATAAGTAGTCAAACTGGATGTTTTGTTGGGTTTTGGTTTGTTTGCTTTCTAAAAAACAACATGAACCAGCAGGTTCTGACACATCATCCAGAACAGGATGACTGCTGTTTTCCTGTGGCTGTCGTAGATGACACTTGTGAGAACTGCAAAGTTTATGAACATTTTGACAGGCATTAAAAGCTTAAAAATGTTAGGATAGTTATTTGAGATTTTCACCAGTAATTAACCTTGTAATGTCTGACTGCCCTTCTCATTCGTGATTATGATTCTCAAAGCAAATAGGATCATCAGAAAATTCAGGTCAGCAGGGACCTCAGGAAGTCTCCTAGTCCAACCTCCTGCTCAAACCATGTGTTAGCATTTCTGTTTTGCAATTCAGGCAGCCAGGGTACAGGACTTAAATGCCTTTTTGTGTGGCTTCATGCAGATAATTCACATGAAGCAAGGAGCTTCTGGAAAAGCTCAACTGGAAGAAAGGAATTTACAGAATATGGAAAAAGGGACTGGCCAGTTGGGAGGATTATGAGAACATTGTCAGAGTATGCAGGCTGAGGCCCACTTGGAATTAAAGCTGGCAAGGGATGTCAAGGATCACAAGAAGGGTTTCTCTTCTCCTTCTACTCTGCCTTGGTAAGGCCACGTCTGGAGTATGGTGTCCAGTTCTGGGCTCTCCAGTTCAACAGAGGCAGGGAACTACTGGAGAGAGTCCAGTGGAAGGCTATGAGGATGATGAGGGGACTGGGGCATCTGTCTTCTGAGGAAAGGCTGAGAGACCTGGGGCTCTTTAGCCTGAAGAAGAGAAAGCTGAGAGGGGACCTTATCCACACTTACAAATATCTAAAGGGCGGGTGTCAAGAGGATGGGGCCAGGCTCTTCTCAGTGGTGCCCAGTGACAGGACAAGGGGCAGTGGGCACAAACGGGAGCACAGGGAGTTCTGCTTGAACATGAGGAAAACCTTCTTGACCCCGAGGATGGCAGAGCACTGGAACAGGCTGCCCAGGGAGGTTGTGGAGTCTCCTTCTTTGGAGATGTTCAAAACCCGCCTGGACTCAATCCTGTGCAACCTGCTCCAGGTGACCCTGCTTTAGCTGGGGGGTTGGACTAAGTGATCTCCAGAGGTCCCTTCTAACCCCAGCCATTCTGTGATTCTGTGAAGAAGGAGTTGATCTCCCCTTTTCTGTAACAGCAACATCATCCCTCCTTGGAGGGATGGGCGTTTTTTCCCCAACGAGGTGGAAAAAGGAATGAATAAACATTTTTTATGCCTTCTTAAGACTAATTATGACACCAGTTGTGAGCACAAGATACTTAAGAGATAGGAAATATGTTCATTTGCAAAGATGTCTTCTAAAATTGTTCATTGTTCCTGTATTTTGTTGTGAACGATCATATTATGTTGCTGCATGTTTTCAGACATGCAGGTTGAGCTGCTGCATTAGCAGAATAAGCGAATGAAGCAAAAAACAAACCTAGAATCTAAATTTGGTGGTATGATATAGAACTTGATCGCTATTGAGGTCAAGTTAAAGTTTCCCTTCTAGTCGGAGGTGATTTGTTGGGCCATTTGTCCACACGGGACAGGAAGAGTGCTAAAACTTTGCTTGGAGATCTTACTGAAACTTTGCTTGGAGATCTTACTGAAACTTTGCTTGGAGAGCTTAATAAATATTTGCTGTTGTCATGAGAGGAATGTCCAGGAGAAGTAAGCCTTCTCTTACTTCTTTATAAGCGCCTTCCAGTCGTCTGCCTAGGACTGTGCTGATGGAGTTAGTTGCGTGTTCCCCAGAGGTGAATTCCTCCTCAGTTCTCCTCCTGGCAGGACTCACTGGATTGACTGTCCTCTCCTCTGATAAGAACATCTGTCTGCCTTTGCAGCTTGCTGATTGCCTTCACAGATTATTTGTCCTATCCAGTTGTGAAAGGTCACCTTGAATTAATCAGATGATGTTTACAAAAGCATGGGAGAAAGGAGGAGTTCAATATGATCTTCAGTTTCTTTAAAAAACCTTTCAGCTATTGTTCTGAAGTAGAAGAATGCTTTGGAAATGAAGCTTGATTATTATTTTAAAACCTTAGTGGAGCTGAGAAAGTTAATCCCTTTACTTCAGATGCCAAGGTAAAGGGTAACATAACATTTTATGGTATCCCACTAAACCCAGGAGAATATGTGAGTGATTTTCAGACAGAAGTTTATCGTACTGCAGAATCCTTGTTAACAAGGGCATATGAGCATCTCCGTAAGACCTCCGGAAAAGTGTCTGCAAAAAAGCTGCTCACATGTGTAAGTATACTTCAGTTTGACCACAAAATGAAACAAAGCCTATCCCATCTTATCTGTTTTTAAGGATCTCGATGAATGAAAATCTTTGTGAGGCACTGTATCCAAAATAACTAACGGTTCAGAAAACACTGGCATAATAATTGTTGCTTCCACGGGGCTTTTGTTATTGCTTATAGACTCTGAAATTTTAGGAGTGTGAAAATATCTTAATGGAGTCCCTGGTGTTTTGGGTGATTGGTGCCCAGGTGCACTGAAATTACAGTAGATGGAACTGTAGAGCAGGGACCAGCTGGTGGCTGTCGCATGTGCAGGAGAACAGGAATCTAATGGGAATCATGGGCACTTCAGAATTTTGTTTGTTAATGAAATCTGGAAAGAAGGGGTAGATCTAATTAATTAATACAACAACAAAAGAACCTGAACCCACACCTTCCTCGCTCCAGGCAAGTGCGTAACTGTTGGGCTGTTAATTAGATCTAATTAGCCCAAGAGTTATGCACTTGCCTGGAGCGTGGAAGGTGTGGGTTCAGTTCTTTTGTTGTTGTGTTTGGAGAAAGGACCTGAATTGGGTCTCTGGTGTAAAAGGGAGGTGTCTTAACCATCACAGCCCTGGCATATTCAAGGTGCTTCACAGGGCAGCTCTTCAAAATCATAGTGTCAGGCTAAATGTAGCAGACCTGTAATGAATATTTTATTGCATGCGGGAGAATTTTAATATTAAAATTAAATTAAATTTTAAAGTTAATTGTTTACATTTTCTGTTTCATCTTGCAAAAATACTGGAGACCTTTCCTTCTACATTATGTGCTGTACTGGAAGTGTCTTTTGGATTAAAATAGGAGGAGACCATGACTTTTTCTTGCTGATTTTTATGTTTTGTGCATTTTTGGAATGCAAAAATGAAATGAGAGGTTAACAGCATTAAGTCTTTCCCTTTTCAGATTTCTTCATTTGCTCATTTTGAACAAAATTGATATGAGTTAAATAGCTTTCCTACTTCTGAAACTCAGATGAGCATAAATGAAAGTGTTCAGCTTGAGTGGATGAATTAATATAATAAGGAAATTTTAATTCCTTACTTTCCCTTTGAAGTTTAAATTTATTGGTAGTTTTGGTGCATAAAGGACTGCTGTCTTGGAGAAAGGGGTCTGACTGCTCGACTATAAACTGCAGTTGTCTCTCAGAATGGAGATGTTATCTGTACAACAGATGAGAATATGCTTTAGATTGACCTCCAGTTCAAACATGAGCCATCAAACACAGCCCAGATCCCTAGGATCTGAGCAGCAAAAGGTCATTTTCTAAAAAGAGAGCGGTGCCATTGAGGGACTAATTGCATTGTCTTGTGGGCAGAAGCAAGCACAGGTCTAGCAGTGTTTTGGGCAGCTACAGCTGTAGAGGTCAGATGTAATCAAGTTGATGTCCCCAATAGGCAGCAGCCTGGAATTTAACAGAGCCTTTTTGTTTATTTATATTTCCAGCAGTTACTTAC